GGAATGGCAAACTACTGGATGAAAATTTGCCTAGAAAAACCACAACTGCCAAAAAATACTGGGGTTGGTTCTGCAGCGTCCTGTAAAGGATACACAACTAACTTAACAATGGTGTAAAAAAAAGTCATTAAAAAACTTTAAAAAAACTAACTCAATGTGGATTTGAACACACAACCTTTAGGCTAGTAGGTGGAGCATCTTGCCGCTACAATACCATGGCTTCTATGTAAACTGTAAGAAGTATTTATTTGCATCTCAAAACAAGATGGCTGCTTTGAAATACATTTTGTGAACACAAACAATTAACAGATCATTTTATGATGGGGATAAAAATAAATTTTGTTTTTTTTTTAAAAGCAGAAAGGAAATAAAACAGGAAAAAAATATAATGCAAGGTAATTATTATGCAGGTACTAGCAGCAGAACAAAACAAAAGTTGAAGAGAGTCAAAGAATTCAGAAACAATTTGTGGCACCGGTGTAGAAATAAATGAAATATACAAGTGTAAATGAGAAATAATATCGTTAGTAACTTAAACAGAAAACAGACACACTTTATAAATGATCAAATGATTACTGAAAATTGCAGCACATAAGTAAAGATTTCAAGCCTAAAAAATTGTCCCAAAAACAAGGAGTCGACTTACTGACAGGTATAAAATACAAAACTCTTTTATCTTTACCACCCAGCTGTAAACAAACAGTGACATCACTTCTGATATTCACCGTACACCACTTTACGTACCCCCCGCACAAATATATTCTAATATAAGTAAGTAAAAAAAGTAAGGGACCCTTTTCCACGCCTTTGGGCTTACATGGCATATAGGGCTAGACCTTTATTTTATAGATCAATTGGCACAAGATGGGTGATGTGGTCCCCATTGTGCTGACCGCCTTTACTTCCCGGGACTGCACCTGGTACCCACTCAAGGCTGGGTCGACCTGGGAGTCAAGGTTATTCTTTTTAAAAATCCAGCTCCACCAAAAAGCGAACCCAGGACCTTCAGATCCGTGGCAAGTGTGTAGCCACCCTGTCACGGCAACTCCCATACTCTGATATAATGGTAATATATTACTGAATCTTTTTGATTAGTGTACATTAATTTTGTGTTAATATGCTAAATATGTTCGCCAGAACACACGTTTTATTGGATTCTATTTGTGACCACAGACTGGAACCACTGTTAGGCTTAATTCTCTATTATTTTTCCTTACGACTTTCTTAGAAAGTAATTTTTTGTTATTTGAAGCCCCACTCTGGCTTTTGCCAGGGGCCGCAATATAGGCAGGACATCAATATGGCCAATTGTCTGAACGCGGTTTCTGGGACCTCTCCACGGTGATCCTCTTCCGCATGGTGGCACTTTGTGTCATCGGGTGTTTATCGCTTGTGTGATGTCCTGGTGGGGTAGAAAGTCAGTCAGTCAGACCACTGATTAGCCAATTGTATTTTCATTGGCTGACTTACATGGCCAGGTATAGACCCAGTGTGGGCAAAATATGGCAAACCAAGCAATTTTTTTCTGCCCTGCAAAATTAGTATATAATCTGGCTCTTAAGCGCACAAAATAGCAGAATACAAAAACATCATATGGAGAAATGAAAAAAATCAAAAATATCAACATCCAAAAAAAATTGATAATCTAAACATTGACAAGCAGGCACTAACATGTTATGTTGATAATGGATTTTTTTTTATATGTCCCTTGAGCAGGTTGGTAATTCTAAATTTGGTCTGCTGACGAAAAGAAAGAAAAAAAGGTTACCAAACCCCTGATATAGACCTAACTTAGAATTCTGAACTACAAATCTTGAGGTTGACTTGTATGGCAGGTCAACTTGTTTGGAAGGTCAAACTGTATGGCAGGTCAACTTGTACAACAGGTCAACTTGTACGGCAGGTTAACTTGTACAGCAGGTTAACTTGTACGGCTGCAGTTTATGGTAAATAAGAAATGAAGGGTAACTCTAAGTGAGCTGATAACAAGATTGATAGAATAATAGCTAAAAATAAAGCTAGAAAACTTGTTGAATGGAAAGACTCAAAAAAAAAACAGGCAAAAGTTAGATTAATGTCGTTATCAGTTAACAAAATAATATTCTAGAACTGTTTTTTTGGTTTTCAATTTTTTAACAAACAAAATAAGCACTGTGGTTAGATGTTGACGGTAAGACATATATCTGCCTTTAACACAAGCAGACCTGAGTCATCTCTCAATCGTCATAGAGATTTACAACTGACCAACCAACATAACTAATGCATCAATAAACCAGCTAGTTTATCTGCCTTATAATTTCCCAGGATGAGAAGGTACCAAAGTAAGTCTGCTGCAAATCTTCAAAACCTAACAAACCAACCCAACAATTGTTGTAGGTTTTACAAGGCAATTTTACACGTAGTGGTCAGCCAATGCTTTCTGAAACTGGACGTCACTCATCAACAGATGTTAAATGTTGAATTAAGAATCAACATCACAGCACTCGGGACACTCCCATAAGTGTTCCATCCCCATCTTCAGCAGCAAGCGTTGAGTTACAATTCTTCTTCTTCTTCTTTGCGTTCACCAGCTGTACACTCTGGTGGAAATGTTCTGGTTGTTCGTCCACTTCTGAACTGCAGTCCTGCTCCAGAACCTGTGTGGCGTGTCCATTAGTGTTACAGATCTGATTCACTTGAATGCAGACTGCTGGTTCCTTGCCTTTCAGGCAGACTGCACTCCGACTTCGAAGGAATGTTCCAATTCTGATGGCACCAGTAACCGTCTAATTGTACATCCACCTCGCCTTTCCCCTGAGTGTTGAGCATTGGCCAGATCCAGAGGTAACTCCTTGCAGCATTATTCTCCTCAGACCATAAATATCCCCATCAGCATAGTTCCATAACATTGCGTGTCATTGGGTCACCACTTGCTGCTGAATGTCTGATTAGCTCTCTCCACCTCTGTTGGCCAGAGGTATTAAAACTTATCTCTGAGGCTTGTCTATTCAGCCAAGTCTTACTCACGGTTTCAACATCCCTGCAATCGGGTTTTCCCATACTTGCACCGTTACTGTGTCAGTGCAAATCAAATGAAAAGACCCTCAGTGTTACATATGAAAAAAATTGTGAATAAACAAACAATTAGCCCCGGAACAATCCAGAAATACGTGAATGCACATTTCAGTTACCAAAAGCAGCGCAGCAAAAACAGTCACCAACAGAAACGGACTTCCGTTTTCAAAATGGCGGATAGCAGCTGTGTTTATTTTCGCTGACTGTCAATTTTCTCGGATTGTTCTGTTTCATAATCATGGACTGCTACTTTGTGCGCATTTCCAACGCAGGATACTATGTGTTTTTCGTGGGAGCAGCGTGTATTGTGATTTTGCTGTGTCGGGGCGGGATAATGACTAATAGTTTTGGCAGCCTTCGGCCACGCTGCCTTCGCAATGTTTTGATCGCGGGGGGTCCACTCGGGAAGACAGAATCTCATCAGCAGGGGACTGCAACTGTCTAGAGAGCAAACTTGATAAAAGCTGTCCCCAGAAACGGAATGTGTCAACCATATATTTGGTGGGGAGGAATCGACACATATAGTTAACTCAATAGCCATGGCCACCTACAGAAAGGCAGTCTCTCGATGGAAGTAGTCGGGTATGAGAAGTTGGCCATACACACATAGAATAATTACATAAGGTATTCCACCAGCTCACATGTTAACTGCCTACTAGCCATATTGAACACCACGACACAACCACTGCACAAAATGAAAGACATTCCACAGGAAAAACATAGCTCACAGGGCTGCACCAAGCACTTAACTCAGTAGCTCAGGCAGCAAAACCATAGACTACCGTCCACAATTGGAAACTGCACCAGAAAAGCACTGTCAGAGGCAAAACCAACCCTAAAGCGTAACATTTCTGCCATGCTTCCACCATTTTAGGCCGGAAGTTCAAATTTTCTACTCGGGTCTTTCTTGGTCTGCTGCTTCCCTTCTACTAAACCTTGTGTAGTGTTTTGGAGAGGCTGACTGATCTTAATACATGCCTGTATAATTGCATTCTTCATTTCTTTCACTGTTGGTAAAAGAGGTTCATAGTTTCCAGCTGTGCTCACACTATTGTTAGAATCAATGCAAGCTGAGCTGCTACCATATCGGCTGTAGCTACATTGAAACATGGTATACTAAAATTGCTGAATTATGTTAAAAGCTTCCCCTAAGTGGTAGATGTTGACACCTGAAGTGAGTAACGGACTCTCTCCCACACCTTTAGGGTTACTGGGCATATAAGGCTAGAGATATATTATAGACCAATCAATACTCTGTGGGTGATATCGTCAACATCACACCCGCCACCTTTACTTCCCAGCACTTTACCTGGTACCCATTTAAAGCTCGGTTAATCTGGGAGCCAAAGTCATTTTAAAAAAAAGTTTGGCTTCCTCAGGACTTGAATCCAAGACCTATCAATCTCCAGGTGAGCGTTTAGCCTATAAACCACGGAGGCTCACTCCTTTTAAACCAAGGAGGCTCACTCCTTTTAAACCACGGAGGCTCACTCCTTTTAAACCACGGAGGCTCACTCCTTTTAAACCACGGAGGCTCACTTCTTTTAAATCATGGAGGCTCACTCCTTTTAAACCACGGAGGCTCACTTCTTTTAAATCACGGAGGCTCACTCCTTTTAAACCACAGAGGCTCACTTCTTTTAAACCACGGAGGCTCACTCCTGAAGTATGTTTAAAAAAAGAATGGCAGTTTGGGTTTGCCGATTTCTCAAACACATGTGTCAATAATTTTTACGATCACAAAACTTGATAGATAATACAATTTAATTAAAAATGTCTAAACTATTCTGTTTATATTCTACATGTGCTATGTAGAAAAGAGAAACAATGTCTAGCTAGGCACATACATTTTGTGACACATCATGAAGAAATATTCGGAGCCACACTAATTTAGACCACTATATTCAGATGGCCAATCAAATATCACTGGTTGAAAAAAAAAATAATTATGGCTGCTTTTCTTTGAGAACACCTGTACAACTGTTGCAGCCACATTCAGTCATTAGCGATGTCACGTTGCTGTCACTGACGATCACAAATTTTCGCTCTGATGGACTAAACAGATACACATTGCCTGTGTAGACATCGTACCACATGGCATGAATTTGCAGCTCTCCCGTTTTGATAAATGGTTGAAGTAATGGATACGTGGTCACATGACTCGCTTGCTCCAGACAGTTAATCTAACAAAAGATGAAAAATTTATAAAAAATGTGAATTATAAATTATCCTTTAAAAAGGTAAAAAAGTTAACATCGGGAGATGTGAACCAGCGTCATTGCACACAGTTATAAACCATAAGTGCTCTGCCACCAGTACAAACAGCTGATAAGAAACTGTCTGCCTGTGTCGCCTTAAGCACGCAACTGAGTAGCTACAGCGACGTTCCACCATTTATCCCAGAGTGTTAAGTCTGGTACCTTTACCTAGAGGCTGGGTGAACCCCGGGAACCGCCCGGTTTCGAACACCGGCCGAGGGCTGCAGCGAGTTGCAGCTGGATTTGAAAGTGAGTCTCTTATCGACTGCACTAACATGGTACTTTGTAACTAGGCAGCGTTCGTGGCTTAGACATTGCGAGTCCGACTCCTAGTTCCAACGTCCTGCGATCGAAACCCACTGTTGGCTGCGTGGACTTTTATCACGGTATGGGGTGTCGCTGGTCGACCCAACCTAAAATGGGTACCAGGATGGCTGTCCTGGGGAAGTAAAGACGGCCGGCGTAATGTTGACCACATAACCCACCTAGTGCCGATTGTTCTATAAAAATATGGGTGCTCTTCCCCTATGCCCAATGCACCTGAAAGGTGAAAAGGGATCTTCACTTACTTTGTAACTAGGGTGACCATAAGTCCCATTTTTGTCGGGACAGTATAGTTAAAAAAAAAAATTTTTTTTAAAGGTAGACCCAGACAGTGCCACTGATATTCAACATCAACTGGAACAATGGCATTTTTATCAATGAGGGCAGTTTAGACCTAACTAAAAAAAAACAATATGGTCACTCTATCTGCGACAGTTAGTTTTAGATGACTTAAGGAACTAAGTTCATTTGGTTGGTTATAGATTGTCTTGAAGACTGTTTAAGCCTGAAGTTTCAGGCATCTGGGTTATTTGCCAGGCTCTTGAAAAGGGAATGAGACTACTGGAATGAGATGGTGTAGAGACTTATTTCTTGACTGGATCATCATCATCATCAGGTGCCTTGCCGACTGGCGTGGGCGATCATGCCTCTCCATAATCCGCGATCTCCTGCAGCATGTATCAGTTCGTGTGCCGACACACCTCCATGCCATGCAACAAGACTGTCAAGCATCTTCTCTCGTTGTCTTCCTCTATCCCTCCTTCCACAGATCTTTCCAGTGGTCACAACATGTTCTATTTTCCCTCTTCTCATAACATGGCCGAAAAATGATGACTGTCTCCTTCTGATGTCAGTGATAAGTTGTCTTCGGTCTCCCGCCTCTTTTAAAAAACCTCTTGGTTGCTCTCTTTGGCTGTCCAAGGTATTCTAAGCATTCTTCTGTAAAACCACATCTCTGAGGCCTCCAAAAAAATTGTTTGGCCTGCCTACCGATTGTCCAGGATTCACATCCATATGTTAAAAACTGGATGTATGTAGCAAGCAAGAATTCTTTTTCTAACTCTCAATGACAAGGATATATTGCACAAGATGTTTTTTCATTTTTATAAAATGCAGTTTTTTGCCTGTCCAATTCTGTTTCTTATTTCAGTTATGCATCTTCCATCTGATGTTATCCATGTACCCAGATACTTAAATTTCTGTACTTGTCTTAAAATAACACCATTGACTTTTATTACACATTTAGGAATAATTTGTTTCTTTGATACCACCATTACTTCTGTCTTCCCATTATTCAAACTGAGGCCCATTCTTCCACTTTCTAACACCACAATGTCTATCATTTCCTGTAATTCTTTCTGACTTGTTGCTATCAAGACTGTGTCATCAGCATAACGTAAATTGTTTATATTGTGCCCACCAACCACGATTCCGGGCATATCAATTAAAGATCTCATAATATATTCTCTGTATATTGAAAACAAATCAGGTGAAAGTACACATCCTTGTCGTACGCCCCTCTGTATGCTTTGAAATGTACCTAAACAGTTGTTAATTCTTATAGCTGCTGTTTGCTGCCAATACATATTCTTTATTATTCTTAGATCTTTCCCATCAATGTTTAATTTTTCTAACAGTTTGATTACTTCTTCATGCTTCACACAGTCAAATGCTTTTGTATAGTCTATGAAGCATAAGTCGGCTCTGTGGCTAAGTCGATGCGAACACTTCGCTTCGTAATGCCGGGATACCGGGTTCGATCCCAGCTGCGGGCAATGCGCCTTGCGTTGGTTTCAACAGTGGTATCAAGGAAGCTGACCGTCCAGGAAAGCAATGGCAAACTACTGGACGTAAATTTGCCTAGAAAAACCACACAACAGCCAGGGGCTGTTGGGGTTGGTTCTGCAACGTCCTGTAAAGGATACGCAACAACCTTATGAAGCATAAGTACAAATCAGTCTTTACTTCTATAGCTCTTTCTGACAATGTCCTTAGGATGTATATGGCATTGTTTGTACCTTTTCCTTCTACAAATCCACATTGTTCATCGCTGATTTCTGGTTTAATTTTGTTTCTTATTCTTCTCATAATTATTCTCAGTAAAATCTTAGTCATGTGACTCATAAGACTTATTGTGCGATGGTCTTCACATTTTAAAGTGCCTGGTTTCTTCGGCAGAGCTATAAATATGGATTTTAAAAGGTCATTTGGAATATACCCACTGTTATAAATATCATTTAAAAGTTTAGTTATTATTTCAATTCCAAAATTTCCCAGTGCTTCGATTTCTTCCAGTGAGATGTTGTCTGGCCCGGGTGCTTTTCCTTTCTTCATATGATGTATTGCATCCTCAACTTCTGCAGTCATTATTGGTGGACCATCATTGTTGTTCTGCAGTTCTACGTCTGGTCTATTATCATCATACAATTCCCCTATATACTCTGTCCATCTGTTAATTATATTACTATGTCCCATTAATAAGTCACCATCCTTTGATATCAAACATCCAGTGCTGTTACGTGTCATCTTTCCTGTTAACATATTTATCTGTTGGTACATGGAATGTGAGTCTTTCCCGTGATTTTCCCCAATCTCTGTACACATTTGATTCAACCAGGTTTCTTTAGCCACTTTGCATTTGTTCACTATTTCTTTTTGTATTCTAGAGTATTCTTCTTTATCATTCTTTTTCTTCCTTCTTTCATCCATCAACTGCAGAATTTCGGTTGACATCCATTTCTTTTTTGCAACTGTATGGGTTGGTGGGATTGTCTCTTTTGATGTCTGCTGAATTGACTCACGCAACATATCCCACTGTTCATCAATTGTTTGTATAATTTCCATTGCATTATACCGGTTTTGTACAGTGACGTTGTACTGTTCCTTAATTTCTTTATCCGTTTTAAGAATTCCTAAATTTAACTTGATGTTCTGTGGTGTTTTTCTAATGTTCTTTAGTTTTATTCTAATTTTTCCTACAACTGGAACATGGTCACTAAAGCAGTCTGCCCCTGGTCTAGTTTTAGCTCCAACTAAGCTGCTCTGAAATCTTCTTGAAATCAAAATATAATCAATCTGATTGCGGACATTATCACCAGGACTTTTCCAAGTCCACAATCTTCGAGGATGGTGTTTAAACCAGGTGTTACCTATTATCATGCTGCGCGACTCAGCCCATGCTATTAATCTGTCACCTCTCACATTCTTTTCTCCTAGTCCATATCCATCCGTTATTCCGCACACTTTTTCACTTCCTACTTTTGCGTTGAAATCTCCAAGTACCATTGTTACTTCACAATTTATGCATTGATCAACAGCCATGTCTAACTCATCATAAAATGCGTCAATGTCTTCCTCTGAACTATCTGCTGTTGGGGCATAAATCTGTACTAAGTTGATGTCAAACGGTCTGCCGCGAAGTTTTACTAATAGTACTCTATCTGATATTGTCCAAAATATCAAAATAATATTCACACAGGAACTTTCTGTAAACTAACCCCTCTCCAACAGAAGCAGTGCAACAGATTATATAGTGAACACATAGTGCAGCGCTTCTTATATGTGGGTCATGACCCCTTAGGGTTTAAATGACCGTTTCACAGGGGTCAGCTAAGACAACGGAAAACACATATTCACTGAAGTTATGAAGTAGCAATGAAAATAAATTTTATGGCTGAGTATCTCCAGAAGATGAGGGACTGTACTGAAGGGTCGCAGCATCAGGAAGGTTGAGAACCACTGATTTAGAGTCTGCCAGAGGTATAATCATACTGCAAACAAAGAACCAATCCAACCAATGAAGAAGCCAGAGTAACAAACCATAAAACCTATCAGGCAACCAACCAACTAGGCAACCAACAAATCAGGCAACCAACCAACTAGGCAACCAACCAATCAGGCAATTAACCAACTAGGCAACTAACCAACCAGGCAACTAACCAATCAAGCAACCAGTCAACCAACCAATCAGGCAACCAACTAACTAGGCAACCAACCAACCAGTCAACCAACCAATCAGGCAACCAACTAACTAGGCAACGAACCAATCAGGCAACCAACCAACCAGGCAACCAACCAATCAGGCAACTAACCAACCAGGCAACCAGCCAACCAACCAATCAGGCAACCAACCAATCAGGCAACTAGCCAACCAGGCAACCAACCAATCTGGCAACCAACCAATCAGGCAACTAACCAACCAGGCAATTAACCAACCAGGCAACTAACCAACCAGGCAACTAACCAATCAGGCAACCATTCAACCAGCCAAAAAAAATAACAAGCCACCCAGCCATCCCACTAACAAACCAAACCAACAAGGAGCCAAGCATGGACAATTAGGCTGGCAGGCAAAAGCACCAGCGGGTTACAACAACACGGGTGAAATAGAAGTACACTTTAAGCACAAAAATATGTTCACTGTGCCACCTGATAAGAGGACAACCTGGCATGCTACGCTTGACAGCTCCTGTAAAGTTGCAGGCGGCTTTATAGGCAAGGCCGTCAAGCATGACCGGTGTGTTTGTAAGAAGATAAGATACGTAATAAATCATATTTATTGGTTCTTGAATATATATAGATTTTCTTTTTTAAGTTAACTTAAAGTGCATTCTTGCATATTACATACAAGGTCCGACAATTATACAATGAGACTAAAATTCCATTTAATTAAAATAATCAACAGTTGAAGATATAACCTGTATTTTATTCAAAGTAAGCCTCTTGTGCATTAATACAGTGAGTAATATGATCTAACAAACATTGGAACAACCTTTGTAGTTCTAATGTTGCTATGGCCCTTAAAGTTGATGTTATGGCCCTTTGGATGTCATCAAAATCGTCAAAGAAGCGTCTTTACAATGGTAACTGTAATTTTGGGAATTGAAAATAACCACAGGGAGACAAATCTGGGAATAGGGTGGATGGTTGAGAACATAGACTTGTTTTGGGGCCGAAAATTCCTGTTTCAATGATGTTTTGTGGGTACTCAACCCGCTGATGTTTTTGGTCATCAGACAACGAATGCGGTACAAACCTGCAAGTAACTTTTTTCTTGCCAAAATCTTGCACTTAAATTTTATGAAGGGTCTCTCTATTAACACCAGATTCAACTGCCATCATCCTGACAGTAAAACAACGATCTTCTTGTGTCCGTTCTATGAAATTTGCAATGAGTTCATCTATACAAACAGAAACTGGGCGTCCAGGATTAGTTGCTTTAGTAATCATTTCTACACCACTTTTGAATCGTGAATACCACCAGAAAATCTGTGCACCAGAAAAACAATTATCCTCATAAACTTGTTGCATCACTTCAACCGTCTCAATGATGTTTTTTCTGAGTTTAAAACAGAATTTAATTTTAGTTTTTGCTCCATGCTGATTTTGTAACAATGTACCTCTAACTAGGTCAGTAAAATGGCGGCTTGTTTGTCATCTGCTTATCAGACAGCAATGCAAAGTTGACAGATCATAGAGGAAGGTTGCCTCTTTGGATTCCATGCTTTGTTTCATAGATGCCACATTTGTCTTAGCCGTAATAAAATCAGTATCATTACTTAATTGTCGGACCTTGTAGAATCAGATTTAGCATACGGCTGTGAATTCTGCACTTGAAGCCTCAGAGATGTGTTTTACAGATCAATATGGAAAACTGTTTGATCAATCAAAATGTGCTGTTTCAATATTTTGAAATTGGGCCTGTTCACATCTCCCGGCCCATCTACACACTTTCTCAGTCTGATTTAAGTCAGAAGGGTGTCGTGTTGTATAGCTTTCTTTGAAAAGAGTCTCTTGTGCGACCTAGGCTCAGGCTGGGAGTAGGGGGTTTGGGTTAGGGACAGTTCTACATGTTCTAGGGTCATTGAAAGCTGTGTCGTCGTGTAGTATAGAACACGTGACATCAGCGCTGATGTAATTGGAGGCAAGACAATGTGACACCCCTCTGATGCAGAAGAGTCTGAGAAAGTATGAATTAAAAGGTCAGGTAGTGTGTAGATGGCCCAGGAAATATGAACAGGATCTTGAAATCCCAAAGTGGGTTCTGGAGCCCCACTGTGTGAGGGGGATGGTAGACCCATTGCCCCCTGTGATGAGGCTATAGATAGGTATAACGTAAGGGGTTGACTGACTGACAGAATTGGGGAAGTCCCTAGAGTGAGAGACATGGAGTTAAGGTGGAAATGGTAAAATGTGGGATTGTTGAACTCATGTGTGAACACAAGATCTGGGGGAATCACTTCATTAGTATGTTCTGACTAAATGTTAAAACTAAGAGAGCACATTATACGCTATAGGAGGAAATCAAAGTGTAAAGTCACTCACACACCAGGCATAATTCGGAGCCGAAAGAGATTACCCGAAAACCAATGCCTCAGACCAAAGAGTTAAAACCAGAGAATTCTCAAGCAACCAACCAGAACCCAGATCTGAATGTTGTGGAGACCTTTTAACTTTCCCTAAAGCCAAATATTTGGAGTACTATATTCGGGACAAAGAAGAGCCCTTGCACACACACAGGCAGGGAAAGAGCAAACACAAAACAACTTCCTGGTCTTTGTTAGACCAACAGAAGACTAGGAATGTTTAAGAGTGACCTGCCCTTACCTGTGACAATTTGTCTTGTATACAGAAATCATTTTCCGGGTCAATCAACGCTTTGACGTGGCCTTGACCTAGATTAACATCAAAAATCACAGGATCAACAAAATTGTTCCGCTTGACTTCATCTGGAAACAGCTGAGAGAACTTGTTGGCCGTCCTGCGGCCGTTGAGCGCCACCCATGTCTTGAGTGGAGATTTTTGGTGATAGAGTTTGTGATCGCACTCTTTCCGCATGTCATACAGGGCATATAAGGCCTGTAGTGGAAACAACAAATAAAGGTTAAAGGTTAAAGTTAAAGATCAAAGTTTAGAGGATCGACTTCATTGCACCAGGTTTCATTCCATATGGCTTGATATCTCTCTTTGCAGAATGGCTAGCCACCTGCTGGCAGTGTCACAGAAAGCACATACATCATAACTCTGGTGACGATCCCAATGGGCCTCCGTAAAAATGTACCTTGTGACCCGATTGACCCCCCTCACCCCCCCCCCCCCCAACCTTCAGAGCAAAGTTTTTTCCCTTTTTTTTCTGTCATTCAACTAAAAAATAAATTTGTATATCTGCATTTTTTTTTTGCTCTTGCATAAAAATATCTGTCATTTTTACATTTTTAGATAATTCATCTTTGTTGACTCCCATGTCGACCCAGACTTGAGTGGTGCAGTCCCGGGAAGTAAAGGCGGCTGGCGTGATGATGACCACATCACCCATCTTGTGCCGATTGGTATATAAAAATATAGGTCTAGCCCTGTGAGCCTAAAGGCATGCAAAAGGGACCTTTACTTTACTTACTACATCTTTGTTGGGTGTTGAGTTGAGAATTTACATAACAGCCTTTAGGACATTCCAATAAGCGCTCCCTCATCTTCAGAAGCTGGCAAAGTGTTGCAAATCCAATGGTGCCAGCATCAGTTTGAAAATATTTCCGTGTTGCCTTTCCTCTCAGTGTAGAGTGTCGAGCCGATCCCCTGGTCACTCTCAACTGTGCCCTTCTCTGCAGACCATGATGATCAATTCGTGCCTCTGCACTATCCATGCTTCCAGAGGGTCTTGACCACATCCAGCTTGTCATGCAATGAATTCTACATAAATTGTGTGAGAACCAGCTAATCTGTCTGTCTATTCATTTCCCAACAATCCTGCATTTCCCGGAGAAAATATCTAAAGAAGGTTAACTACCTGGGACCTCTGAAGTAATGCTTGCCACTCTGCACAGAGCATGCCTGCCTCCACCATTTTTAACATGCTCTGAGAGTCGGTTACAATTATGACATATGTACAGCTCAACCCAGAAGAAAACTACTGTGATTTCATTCACTTCCATTCTCAAACAACATGTTGTAGTATCCTACAACAGTCTTTGTCACACTGAGCGTCGCCCATTAGCTTTCACAATGAACCCTCCCACACTTCTTCTGCCGCTCAACACAGAGCCACTGGTATAGATAATCACAGCATGTGAATGGGAATTCCCATTAATCATTTGTTGAATTTCTGATTCTGCAGTGAAGACACCTTCCCTGCACTCCGGGCCAAGTGTGAATACAACCCTACACAAGTATGTTTTTTTTTTTTTGCTTTGATATTTTAAATAGTTTAATTCATCTTAAATCTAAATTAATCATTTAAAGAGTTGCTTTTTTTTTCCTACCCTTGAAATTCTCAGAATAATGATCAAATCAAGGTATATTATTTTAGCCATGGACACCTCCACCCCCCCCCCCCCCCCCCCCCCACCAATCTTCACCCTTTCTTTCTAGAAAAAAAAAACGAGTTCACCCCCCCCCCCCCCCCCCAAACTGTGTGTTATCATTATATAGTAGGTCCTTTGCAGAACGTCGCTTTCATCAAGGTCTACCTGAAAGAAACTTGGTCTCTCGCCAGTTCTCCCGCCTCATGAGCTTTTAAACTGAAGGAGTCACTTATATCCTGTATCCATCTTTGTGTTGGTCGGCCCCTGCCCCTCCTTCCTGGTACCATGCCTTCTGCTATAATTTTTTCCAATCCGTCGTGGCGCATGATATGACCAAAATATTTCAGCTTCCGAGAAAGGATGCTGTTTATTAGCCAATCTTCCTTGATGTTCAGATCCCTCAAGATGTCAGTATTTCTCCTCTTCTTTGTCCAAGATATTCTGAGAATCTTTCTATAGCATTTCAGCTAAAATGCCCCTATTCTATTTCTTTAGGACTGGGAGATAGTCCACGTCTTACATCCGTATGTTGCCAACAGCTAACTTTGTACCACTGTCCTTTGTCTAGTCTCAGTGATGTTATGTAAGGCCATACATGATTTCTTCTTCTTCTTCTTCTTCAGAATTTCAAACCCTTGAGATTCATTAATGCCCCACCTCCATTTATCTCTGTGATCTTCTTCTTCTTCTTCTTCTTCTCTTCCACCATTTACCTCAGCAAAGTGTTGGGGGGAGATGTAAGGATTGTTTTGCGGCTTTTTACAATGCACTGTACAAGCTGGTGTTATTTCTGTTAGGTTGCGCCTGACAATGTCGCTCCATCTCTTGCGTGGTCTTCCCCTTGCTCTGTGTTCAATATATTTCTTCAATGGGCTCTCTGTGGCAGCTGGTACCATGGCATTCTCGTCAGGTGGCCAAACCATCTCATTTGGTGTTCTTTAATTAACTGAATGACTGTTTTCAGTCTAAATGACTGTTTTCAGTCTAAATGATTGTTTTCAGTCCTAGTTTTCTTCTAATTTCTTCATTCTTGATTTTATCTCTTCTTGTCACACCGGCAGCTCTCCTAAGTCTTTTCATATTTGTGATTGGTTTTCTATTTTCAGTTGGCGACACTAAGTGTGTGTAGGTCTGCTTGGATGTTGAATGTTGAATTAAGAATCAACATCACAACACTCAAGACACCACCATAAGCGTTATGTCCCCATCTTCAGCAGCGAGTGAAGTGTTCCATTCCAATGGTACAAGTTAGATATTGTTAGGGCCCTTTGGGAGAGAGTAAACAGTGCAGAGGCGCAGACAGATCATTGCAGTCTAAGAAGATTGGTGTTGGGAGTAGTTACCAGGGGATCTGGCCGGCGCTCAACACTCAAGGATGAATTGGATATACAATCAGATGGTTACTGGTACCACTGGATTTGGAATTCATTGCTTGCTGCTGAAGATGAGGACTGAGCACTAAATGGAGTGTCCTGAGTGCTGTGATGTCAACTCTTAATTCAACATTCAACAACATGATGAAAGGAAGTTTTATGAAGGTGGGGGTGTCAGCTCCCACACATACACAGACATAAACACACACATACACAATACAGGCAACTCATAAAATGATTTAGAAACAAATACACACCCATGACAATCAGCCCAAAACCAACAGACTCCTCACAGCTAGCAGACAAGAAACTGACAGACTTCCCACAGCTAGCAGACAAGAAACTGGCAGACTTCCCACAGCTAGCAGACAAGAAACTGACAGACTTCACACAGCTAGCAGACAAGAAACTGACAGACTTCACACAGCTAGCAGACAAGAAACTGACAGACTTCCTACAGCTAGCAGACAAGAAACTGACAGACTTCCCACAGCTAGCAGACAAGAAACTGACAGACTCCTCACAGCTAGCAGACAAGAAACTGACAGACTTCCCACAGCTAGCAGACAAGAAACTGGCAGACTTCCCACAGCTAGCAGACAAGAAACTGACAGACTTCACACAGCTAGCAGACAAGAAACTGACAGACTTCACACAGCTAGCAGACAAGAAACTGACAGACTTCCTACAGCTAGCAGACAAGAAACTGACAGACTTCACACAGCTAGCAGACAAGAAACTGACAGACTTCCTACAGCTAGCAGACAAGAAACTGACAGACTTCCCACAGCTAGCAGACAAGAAACTGACAGACTTCACACAGCTAGCAGACAAGAAACTGACATACTTTCTACAGCTAGCAGACAAGAAACTGACAGACTTCCCACAGCTAGCAGACAAGAAACTGACAGACTTCCCACAGCTAGCAGACAAGAAACTGACAGACTTCCTACAGCTAGCAGACAAGAAACTGACAGACTTCACACAGCTAGCAGACAAGAAACTGGCAGACTTCCTACAGCTAGCAGACAAGAAACTGACAGACTTCCCACAGCTAGCAGACAAGAAACTGACATACTTTCTACAGCTAGCAGACAAGAAACTGACAGACTTCCCACAGCTAGCAGACAAGAAACTGACAGACTTCACACAGCTAGCAGACAAGAAACTGACAGACTTCCCACAGCTAGCAGACAAGAAACTGACAGACTTCACACAGCTAGCAGACAAGAAACTGACAGACTTCACACAGCTAGCAGACAAGAAACTGACAGACTTCCCACAGCTAGCAGACAAGAAACTGACAGACTTCACACAGCTTGCAGACAAGAAACTGACAGACTTCCCACAGCTAGCAGACAAGAAACTGACAGTTCCCACAGCTAGCAGACAAACTCTTCCCCAACATACAAACACACACACACATATATCCACCCCAATATGCACACACACACACACACACACACATATCCACCCCTATACATACAAACTCACACATATATATATCCACCCCTATACATACACACACATAAAGATATATCAACCCCTATACACACACACACTCATACACACACACATATATTTCCACCCCTATAGACGCACACACACACACACACATATATCCACCACTATACATATACACACTCATACACACACACATGTATAACTCCACCCCTATAGACACAGACACATACATCTTCACCCCTATACATACACATACACTCATACACACACACACAAATATATCCACCTCTTTACATACACACACATTCATACACACAAACTTATATCCATCCCATACACACAAACTCACACACATATATATATATCTACCGCTTTGCACCCACCCAAACAAACACACACACTTACCCTGCAATCAGAATGTCCACAAATAACTACATTCCTGATTTCATTCACAATACATCCAAGTTCAAGGCCACCGCCCTCGGAGCTGATGTAACCTGCCAGATAGTCTTCATGATGAGGAATCATATTTCCTGCGTTTCTCACGTAGAATGTCTCCCCGATGGCCGAACCAACAAATTTCGAGGGAAGCACTCTGCTGTCCATACAGGAGATGAATACAGTTTGTGGCTGGGGGAACAAATGACAAACTGGCATTGAGCAACAATAAAAGGTGATGACATAAATAATGGTGACTGCAGATGAGCTAATGTCAAAAAACAATTTAATGATTTAAGAATCAACATCGTAGTACACCGGGCATACCCATAGATGCTCCGTCTCCCGCAGGAAATGACGTAAGGTGTAGATGCTAACTGTTCCCGTAGCACAATGATTATACACACACTGATCTCTTCCTCTCATCTGTCCCTCCATGCCAGATCCACACTTAATTCCTTATTCACACAATTTTGCCCATGTTAATTCATCTTATTTCGTGTCTTCTGCCAAAAGTCATTCATATATGGTTTTCAGAATATCTCCCTTGTCCAATACAAGTGTTCCCATAGCTTTCGCTTTTGACATCAGAATAGTGATGCAGTGGATTCCAGGTCACTCCGGCACACCAGGTAATGACAGAGCTGACAGATTGGCAAAGAAAGGAGCAACACAAGAACAACCACCTACAGCGACAACCCTCCAGACAGCAAAAACACTGATAAGAGCTATAAACAAAGAGACTTGGTTGAACAGATGGGCCATGGGAGACACTGGAAGAGAGATGTATAGACATATGTCTGGCCCTGATCCTAATGACAGCATTAACCATCTAACAAGAAGGGACCAGACTTAGAACGCAACATACTCCACTCAATGGACACCTAAACAGAATACAGCAACAACACTCCCCAGAGTGCCAGCTATGTAACTACCCCTACGAAACTGTTGAACACCATCTCTTTGAGTGCCCAAAACTCAGTGAGACAAGTAGAACGCTACTCCCTCCGAGACCAGACAAGTGGAACACCTTGTACGGAGGAAAAGAACAGCTTGTGAAAACATGCAAATTCCACTACATGGCATTGGGCCAAAGGGCGAAAGTTCATGCGCCGCTGGATCGATAACAACAACTTTCGCTTTTGTAACCAGACAATCAAAAAAAAAAATATATAAACCAAGAGTATTTCTTCTTCTTCTTCTTTGTGCTCACCAGCTGAAACTCCAGCTCAAGTTCTGGTTGTTCATCCACCTGTGCATATTAGTCTTGTTCCAGAACCTAAGTGTTTTCTGCACTTCCATTTCACAGATCTGACTTATCTGTATGCTGACTCAGCATATGCTAAACATAGATTCCACAATATTATTATCATATTTATTTAAAAAGCACACTCAAATTATATCAAAGCTAACAATCTATACTTAGATAAGACATAACTATTCAATATTAGGTAACCACACAAGTAACTGCATGCATAAGTATCTAATAACAGGAAACTAGAAAATAAATATACTCTATTTATCCCACTTCTAACCCAAATGCGTTGAACATGATACCATTATCATAATTACTACTGCTACTATTAGTATTTCGATTCACTGATAACAGACTGCAATCAAAACAGTGAAGAATAGCATGTAACACACACACAAACATAACTATAATGGGCGAACTGATTCTATGTTATTTATTTTTAAATATTATTATTAGACATATGATAAGAACTTGCAAATGTAAATACAACTAGATTACCTGAACAATTTTCTTTGTAAACTTGTCTATATCGTTCACAAACCTAACTTTATCATGCAGGTTGTATTTCACAACGCCTCTGAGGATTTTATCCATGGTAAAATGTAGGTAGCCTGGGTAAACACAACCCCGCCTGCTCGAATTCAAAACACTTTAACAGGCTTTGCTATACTGAACCACAACCAGCCATAGCCCTGTCTGAGTCTGTTTCTCACACAAACTCGTTGAAGCGTTTCGTTAATAACTAAACCAATAATGATACAATTTCCCCTCCCCCGTCAGAACCAGTTCAACTGGCCGAATTCTGGTGGCTGTGTAATCTGGAGGAGAAAGTGGGCCAGCTGGTTGAGTTCTGGACCTGGGGAGGATGTTGGCCCAAACACGAATGTGTTTTTGTTTGTTTCTGCTTAACCCCCGCCCCTTCCACGATGACTGGGGGTGGCTTCCCATGTTTCGGCGATTCTCAAATTATGGTACCAGGGCTCTATTTATCCACAGACTAGAAATTCACGATATCTGCGCTGATGCTGTTACTACTACCAAAAAAATCACCACCCGAGACAGACAGACAGACAGACAGACAGACAGACAGACACACAGACACACAGACAGACAGACAGGTAGGTATGTAGGTAGACAGACAGACAGATAGACAGACAGACAGACAGACAGGTAGGTATGTAGGTAGACAGACAGATATATAAACAGACAGACAGACAGACAGACAGACAGACAGACAGACAGACAGATAGATAGATAGAAAGATAGATAGATAGATAGATAGATAGATAGATAGATAGATAGATAGATAGATAGATAGATAGATAGATAGATAGATAGATAGATAGATAGATAGATAGATAGATAGATAGATAGATAGATAGATGGATGGATGGATGGATGGATGGATGGATGGATGGATGGATGGATGGATGGATGGATGGATGGATGGATGGATGGATAGATAGATAGATAGATAGATAGATAGATAGATAGATAGATAGATAGATAGATAGATAGATAGATAGATAGATAGATAGATAGATAGATAGATAGATAGATAGATAGATAGATAGATAGATAGATAGATAGATAGATAGATAGATAGATAGATAGAATAAGAATAATAATGAGAAATATAAGATGAGAAAAAATAACTAATAGTAGTAGTAGCAGCAGCATCAGTAGTAGTAGTAATAGTAGTAGTGGTAGCAGCAGCAGCATCAGTAGTAGTAGTAATAGTAGTAGTGGTAGCAGCAGCAGCAGCAGCAGTAGTACTAGTAGTAGCAGTTTCAATACCAACAAGGGTTCCTAGCGAACCATCTTTATAATTAAAAAAAAAAAAAACACATCGGTGCAAGTAAAACTTTACGGGTCGCTAAGTGAATTACAAAAGACAGTGAAGTTCATACTAGAAATAGCCTTTCAGATCTAGAGCTATTTCAAGCGAACGAAAGAAGAAGAAGAAGAAGAAGAAGAAGAAGAAGAAGATATTTAGAAATTGGCAGCCCTGTGGAACGGTACCTGGCAAACGTTGCAGACGTCAACTCCAGCGCTGGAACATGGACCGTTGAAGTTCCAGTTGAATATCTGACTTGTTGCTGAGTTTATCGCTCACAGAAACGCATCAGTCGGTTAAAACATCACGTAAGTTTGTAGTTGTGCACTTGTAATACAGTTTTATGGTTCCTAGCTTATCCAGTGACATAGTTCACTGCACAAGTGATGATGAACAAATACTTAGTTATACTAGCCCGAGTTGCCGGCTCCATTATTTTTTTTCCAGCTGGCCGCTTTTTACAAATGGAACTAGTATTTGAATAAATTATTTCCGTACTCTATTGTTGTGGATTTCCAGATGTACGACTGGAATGTCAAATGAATTTACTGCGGGTGCCTAGTTGACCATGTTCTTAGTGCACTTGTTTCCATAGCGAGGCACGCCCGCCTTGGAGGTGACAGATTCGATTTCCGGCACGGTTACACGGTAACTATCTATAGCTTTCGATTTTTATGTTGTCTAGTGTGTTCTTCTATCTTTCTACTTCTTTCTATGAGTGCCGATCAATACATTGATTTATTACATTTACTAAATGCCTCTTATTGTCACACTGGCAGCTCTCCTAAGTCATTTCATATTTCATAGGCTGCACTTTCTTGTGGGACATAGGTGGTTTGGGGTTAGGGCCAGTCTGAGATGTTTTGGGGTCATTAAAAGTATTAGGAAAGCCAGGAAACTCAGTCCTACCATCCTCTAAAATGTTGGACTGTCCTGTGACGTCATAGGGGGTTTAGGATATTAGGAAAGAACCCATTTAGTATTTGAATAGAGACATAGCGGATATGATCAACACTGTGTGGACTAGGCGGGTGGATAATAAGGGATCTCTTACGGCAACACAGTTGCCTTGTCTGGGCGTAAAAGCTTGGTGAAGCACACATGGATTATGCTTAAGAAGATCGAGAAGGGTTGGATGGTTGGTTAGTTAGTTTGGATATGATCACTGCACGCCTGGCATGTCCATAGGTGCTCAGATCCTTCCTGCAATATGAACCCCAGTGTCCTGTGGCTAATAGTGCTAGTTCTTTGTTGATTGATAAGTCTTTTTGTAAGCCTGGTGTGTCTTTTACTTTTGGCTATGCCGATCTTAACTCCCGAGTCTTTCATTCTGTTGAGCGATGTGGAATCGCAGTCTTAAAAGTCCTCCACCCTTCCTACTTCACTGAGATCAGCATGATCCATGGGTTGACCTTCAGCAGTGATAACGGATCCAGCCAGCTTATCAGCCCTTTGGTTTCCATTGACGCCTGCGGGCCCCGGAATGGAGATCAAGACGACAATATGCACTGTGGACTTCTGTAATGGCTCAATCCACTGCCTTCGCACAGAACCTGCCTGGATCTTTCAGATCATGATCATGGTTCGATGTGCGATGATGATAATCTGTCGATTAACTAACTAACTAACATGGGTTATAATTCTCAGAAAGTTGATGGAAGTTTTTTTCTTTCAGGGGTAGAAATAAACACCCTAACCTGCTCAGTTCATAGTGACTTGAGAAGCCATACGGTCTGAACTTTTTTACCTTATGAATGCTAAAAAAATGAAAAAATCCTGCATTACATAGATCACTAAAAATAGTTTTAAAAATGTATATTTTAAAACTCTTTTTTGAAATATATATATATATATAAAGATATATGAAAAGGTCATCAATAAACATGAAACAGAGTAAAGTATTACATTTAATACATTCCCCGGGACGTAAAAATGAACAAATTGTATTGGTGGATGACTCACGTCTTGACCCCGTGACCTCTATCATTGAGCCTTACTGGAAAATTTGACATCAACTTGGCTTTAAAAAAAAACATGGGAGGCATAAGACCCCCTTTCAACCCAATGCTATTTTTAATAATGTATTCATTTCCTGGCTTTTAAACGCAGCTCAGACGCACACAGCACTAAGCTTTTTGTGAGCAGGTCGCTGCAGACATGGCTGTATATTGGCAGTTATAGAGCTGTGTCACAACAAGAAAGTGATTAAATTTAATCTTCTTGTGGCGACAGGGTTAAATCCTTAGACTGAAGACTTCCATGTTTGACAGTGAATAAAAGGAGATAAATACATGTAGTAAAGACCAACAAAGAATGCCTTCTGATGCTATACCTTTCAAGGTATATACCAAAATAGAAGAGGGACTTTTCCCCGTGTGGGTTCTGGGGCCCTATTATGGGAAAAACAAGAATAGACCCACTGCCTACCCAAAAGCATGTTGTAAGAGTCGACTAATTGGGAGCTTCCTTTGAAGTCGGAGTGCATCTACCTGAGAGGCAAGGAACCAACAGTCTGCATACACATCTGTCAAACGGATGCACACGCAACACTCAGGTTCTGGAACAGGACTGCAGTCCAGAAGCCAGAACATTCCGCCTGAGTTTACAGCCGGTGAACCAGAAGAAGAAGAAGAAGAGAAGAGGGACGTAGAGCAAGAGGTAGACCAAATGTAAGATGTAAGGATAACATGAGAGAAACTCTACAGTACCACGATGTGTCTTTGGTCGAAGCAGCCAGAAAAGCACGAATAAGGACTTTATATCTCCCTTGACACCCGAAGAGGTAAAAGAGGACATAAAGAAGTAAAGACCAAACAAAATTAAAACTGATGGGTTTACTTTATTTCAGTTTGAATCAAGTGTCCAGAAATCTGCAGGCAAGACATGGGAGTCTGCAGGCTGCTATCGCTGGCCACTGCTGTGCTGGTATTGCTGCTGGCCGTCCACCTCTACAGTCCAGTCCCAGATGGCCTCGCAGAACCCTGGCTGGCCAGGACTTTCATTGCGGCATTTAGATTTGCCAAGCTGGTTGTAAGTTGTTTTGTAATCTCCTTCATAAATACTACTGTACCCTCAGATGATCTCAACAAGTCATCAGTCTTCTCCAGATGGTGTGACTTCGTACAAGACGAGGGGATTCTTATCTTCTCTTTTTCCCCGTGGGGGTTCAAGGACCCCATTTTATAAGGGTGTAGGGGGCCAGGGGAGGTGGGAGGGGGGGGAGCATTGTAAAAGGTGACTTAGGGGGTTTCCTACAAAAGTTTGATTGCATCTGCCTGAGAAGTCCAGAACCAACCGTCTGCATACAGAAAACTAAACCAAAGTCTAGAAGTGGATGAACAACTTGAACTTTCCACCGGAGTTTATAGCTGGTGAACGTGAAGAAGTCTTCTCTTTCAATATTGATAATGCTTTTACAGTCATCATCATTATCATGTGTGCTGCTGATAAGCATAGGCGGTCATATTTCACCAGCATCTCACATCATCACCAGAAACATAGATCAGGTCTGTGCTCCTCTCTCACTCCATCTGTTTAGCCAAGCTACCCAGGCATTTTGCCTCTTTCTATTTTTCCATGAATTTTCGAAGCCGAACTTAAAAAAAACAACAACCTTGACTCCCAGGTGGATCCAGCCTTGAGTGGGTACTGGGTGCGGTCCCGGGAAGTAAAGGCGGCAGGCATGATCCTGACCCATGTTCTTGTGTCCATTCCGTGTGGGTTCAGGGGCCACATTGTGGGGGAAAACAAGAGTAGACCTACTGCCTTCTCAACAAGCATGTCGTAAGAGTCGACTAATTGGAAGCATACTTCAAAGTCAGAGTACATCAGTCTGAGAAGCAAAGAAACAAGAGTTTGCATACACATAAGCCAGGTGTGTGTATTTGTGTGTGGGAAACGAATGTGCACACAACACTCAGGTTCTAGAAGAAGACTAGAGTTTAGAGATGGCGGACACCGAGAACTTTCTGTTGCAGTTTACAGCCAGTGAACGCGAAGAAGAAGAGTCAATTCCTTCTGATAACATGTGTTAGGGGAAAATCATTTCTGACAGCCAGCACACAGTGTGACAAGCTACTGCCCTGAATAACAAGATAACAGACTAAATAGAGAATGTTATATTCCTGTTACCAGGTCCTGGAAAGTAAAGGTGGCAGGCGTGATGTTGACATCACCCACCAAGTGCCGATTGGTCTATAAAATAAAGCATTTGGAAGTCGCAGTTAACCTCCATCATCTGGATCTACACACTTGGGCATGCAGGAGTAAATGGTAATGAAAGAGCTGACCAGCTGGCAAGGATTGCAGCAATGCAAATGGGAAGAAGCATGGACAGAGCTGAAATCATCAACGCTGTACGGACGAGGTTGGAGGATAATGGTGAATATATGATGCTAACAAGACTGCATGACTGAGGAGTTAAGCTTGGTTAAGAACGACTATACCGTCTTCAAGGCAAAGACAGATGCACTCCAACTTTGAAGGAAGCTCCCACTTAGTTGACTCCTGCGACATGCTTGTTGTGGAGGCAGTAGGTGCATTCTTGTTTTCCCCACAGTGGGGCCCTGGAACCCGCACAGGGAGGATTTTGAAACAATTACACAGGATAGAAGGGGGTGGAGGAAGACACTGTGAACCCTATTTGACACAGAAGCGGCACAACATGATGTTGATGTGAAAGAGAATCATACCTGGACAGATGGACCAGCACCAGTGAATATTTGACAGATCCTGTGACACGTGATCGTGTCATCTGACAGGTTCTTTTTTGTTTTTCTTCTTTGATCCCTCTCTAGAAAACCTTTATCAGGAGGCCTGAAGGGGGCTGCATGGTCTCCAGGTATGCTAGAGGTTCTAGGAATGACCCCCGGTGAGGTTTGGGATTTCTTCACGTGACTTGGACTTCTAGTAATTCCACCTGGTCTCTAGGTAGTGAGATTAGACGCCCGTGTGCATTGTTGCGCACGTAAAAAAAAATCATTGGCAGTTGGAAATCTAAAAGAGTAACCTAACGGTGCTGCCCGGGCAAAATTTGGAGTTAAAAATCTATCCAAAAGTATTTCAGGAACTCGCTAGAGCTACAGAGCCTGTGCACTGTGCTGAGCTTCTTCGACTCTGACTTGAGTTAAAAGAAGAACAGAGCACTTATGGGTTACTACCCGTGTGCCATGATGTTGATCCGTTGTTCAAACATCAAACTTCAAACTATCAAGAGGCCAATAGCCTTTATGAAAGTAGCCATCATGCCATCCAAATCTCTGTGTGTGCCATACATCTTTGTCTTCATTAAGGTTTGAATAGGCCAGATTTTTCTGTTCGCAGCTGTCTGAAAAGTGATGGCAGCACTGGATGCATACAGTATCTGACAAAATATGTTTTGTACAATGTATACTTGGGAGTCGCCGTGGCGTAGCGGCTAGACGCTCACGTGCAGATCGGAAGGTTGTGGGTTCGCTCCCTGGCGGAGACGAACTTTAAAAGAAAATAACCTCGACTCCCAGTTGGATCCAGCCCTGAGTGGGTACTGGGTGCTGTCCCGGGAAGTAAAGGCCCCCGGCGTGATTCTGACCACATCAGTTATCTTGTGCTGATTGATCTATAAAAATATAGGTCTAGCCCTATATGCCCTATAAGCCTAAAGGCGTGGAAAAGGGACCTTTTGCTTTACAGTGTATACTAACTACTGGTGTCATTGTGTGCAGTGTAAACTTACTGATTTCATGGCTTGCAGGCGGCCACAGCAAACCTGTTGACAGGGATACCAACAGTCAGGGTTGTCAGATGGCAGGTGGATGTTTTATATAAACCAGTTTTCTTCAATCAACCCGGGTTGTCTGTGAGTAGGTTATATAGAAATGGGTCTAGTTTGTATATCAGCGGATGTTCTCTCAAAATTTTTGTTTCAGTCTGTTTTCTCTTGTGTTGATCAGTGGTTTCTGATTAAAAACTACCTGCTGACTCCCTCTTATTTCTGATCTGCTGACTCCCTCTTATTTCTGATCTGCTGACTCCCTCTTATTTCTGATCTGCTGACTCCCTCTTATTTCTGATCTGCTGACTCCCTCTTATTTCTGATCTGCTGACTCACTCTTATTTCTGATCTGCTGACTCACTCTTATTTCTGATCTGCTGACTCACTCTTATTTCTGATCTGCTGACTCACTCTTATTTCTGATCTGCTGACTCACTCTTATTTCTGACCTGCTGACTCACTCTTATTTCTGATCTGCTGACTCCCTCTTATTTCTGATCTGCTGACTCCCTCTTATTTCTGATCTGCTGACTCCCTCTTATTTCTGACCTGCTGACTCACTCTTATTTCTGACCTGCAAACTCCCTCTTATTTCTGATCTGCTGACTCCCTCTTATTTCTGACCTGCCAACTCCCTCTCGTTTCTGACCTGCCAAACCCTTCTTATCTCTGAGAGTCTTTTTCAACTCCTCTCCTTCTTTATGCGTGCGTTTGTGCATGCGTGCTGATAGAGAGAGAGATCAATGTGTGCACCTCTGTGCACATGAACATAATATGCTTGATATATAAAATGCAAGTGCCATGTAAAAGATGCATGCTAGGAACACCTGAATGTAAGAGGGGCCTGAGTGCCCAATTTGTAACCCTGTGGAAATAAAGTTTGTTTGTTCACCTATTTCTTCTTCTTCGTCGTCTTCTTCTTTGTTTTCTTCTTCTCCTCCTCCTGCCCCCTCCTCCTTCCTTCTTCTGCCTCCTCCTCCTTTTTTGCTCCTCCTCCTTCTTCTTCTTCTTCTTCTTCGAAGGACCCCCTAGTTTGTAATATACTGTATACTCTGTGGTGTCTTTTTTTTGTGTGGACCCAGAGGAGAGTAGTATGGGAACAGCTCTGCCCCCCCCCCCCCCCCCCCCCCGTAAACAGTTTTTTGTGTGGACGCATAAACTTGCAGGAAAGAATGCCATTCCAGAAAACAGCAGAGAATCACCAAACAGACACTTCAATGGGAAACAGAGGGATCGGGAAAGCAAGGTGCCACAAAAGAAACCCTAAAATGAAGGTTGATGAGAGATGCCAAAGGTGCTGTGCTGGATTCCATGCATGATATCAACTTGAGTACACAGGACAGAATGGAATGGAGAAATAAACGGCAAATCCTATGTGGCATATTTGGTCACAACATTACTATATTTAGTAGTTACCATGGCCAGGGGATCTGGCCGATGCTCAGCACTCAAGGAAAAGGCGAGATGGATATATTATCAGACAGTTACTGTTACCATTGGAATTGGAACTCTTTCCTTGCTGCTGACGATGGGAAGGAAGCGCTTATGGGAGTGTCTCAAGTGCTATGATGTCAGTTTATAATTTAACATGACATGATGATGATGATGATATTCTGTGATGACAGGTAGAAGACCGAAGCTTTGATGGCATACCAGTTCGAGTGTACAGACCAGACTCCGCTGGCAGTGCTGCCCCGTGTGTGGTGTACTTTCACGGAGGAGGATGGAGTCTTTTCAGTGTGGGTAAATACCACCTGGTTTCTCTTTCTCACAACACAATCATTGTTTGAACCAGCTAGTCAGCTGTCTTAACACTGTTGCTGTTAGTTAGAGCTGACATCTTTACATCTAGATGCACTTGGCTGGTGGTTAGTCTTTCTCAGTAGTGGTCAACAGATCTGAACATATGTTTTCCTGTTGATTCACACAATGTGGTGTTGATTTGTGGCTGTGAATCGTGGACAAATTATATACAAGGCAGCACATTTCGTGAGAACTTGGAGATGTGCTTTCACTAAAGATTGCTTAGAATTTCTTGGGCAGTTAAAAAGAGCAACCCAGATGTTTTGAAAGGGCTTGAAGACAACTTATAACAAACATTGGAAAGACAGTCATAATTTTTTGGTCATTTTATGAGAAGAAGGAAACTGGAACATACGACCACTGGAAAGATCTGTGGAAAAAGTGACGGAGGAAGACAAGAAGATTCTTGGCAGCCTTTTGTCTTGGTATGGAGGGGTGTCAACACACAAACTGATACATGTGGTTAAAGGTCACGTATATAAGAGACTTGATTGCCCACACCACTTGGCAAGGCTCTTGATGATCTTTTCATCATGTGGCTCTATGAGTTCTGTACCCCACCCTAAAGAGAGAGAGAGATACGGCAATTAACACACACAGTGTCTTAGTTATCTTTATTCATTCAGCATTTTATCCCCATATGGGATCCTGCCCCCTGTTATATGGAAAACAAGAATAGACCCACTGCCTACCCAAAAGCATGTCGTAAGAGTCGACTAATTGGGAGCTTCCTTCAAAGTCGAAGTGCATCTGCCTGAGAGGCAAGGAGCCAGCAGTCTGCATACAAATTAGTCAGATCTGTCAAATGGATGCACACACAAAACTCAAGTTCTGGAACAGGACTGCAGTCCAGAAGTGGACAAACAACCGGAATTTTCCGCCAGAGTTTACAGCTGGTGAACAAGAAGAAGAAGAAGAAGATTAAGCATTTGTATTCTTCATTTCTTTGTCTCTATTTCATTGTCTCATATGTCATCCACCTTTCCTGATTATCTGTCTTTTCTGGCTCCCAAATCTGTCTCATATGTCAATGCAGATACCTAATCAGATTTTATGATCTTTAGATTGGTATCCTTCCTGTGTGGGTTCTGGGAACCCATTTCGGGAAAAGGGGGTGGGTGGGGGGGGGGGGGGGGTAGACCCACTGGCCCCTAACAAGCATGTTGTAAAAGGTAACTAATTAAGTGTTTTCTGAAATCAGATATGTTTAGCTAGAGGCCACATAAATCCCAGCCAAGCTGTATCTCAACACACATGATAACCACCCTTTCAAGGGTGAACAGTGGAGAAGAACAAGAATTGATAACTATTACAGTCAGTCAGTCGGCCTAATGCTAACCACATTACCCACTTAGTGCCGATTGCTCGGTAAAAATGTGGGTGCTCTTCCCATATGCCTGATGCACCTAAGGCATAAAAAGGGATAAAAACAGTCAGTCAGTCAGTCAAGCCTCATCACGCTCATTACATTCACACTAGTAAACCTTTAAAGAGGAACATAACACACACACACAGTGTATAAACCTGACTACACTTACATATTGCCAATTGGGATTTTCAGAAACTTACCATGAAGTGACATCCAACTTGGCACTTAAGACAAATGCTGTTGTGATTTCTGTGAGGTAAGTTTATGGAACAACATTTTACAAAGTTAACTATGCAGTCTTTCTTTGTCAGTTGAGACAAGAAAGAGAATTCTCCAGAGTTGTATGAATCCTATACTGATTTCTTCTTTTCTTCTACTTCTTCTTCTTCTTCTTCTTCTAATTCTTCTTCTTTGTGTTTAGTTTTGTATCATCAGGTCAGGTTGGATTCCTCTTTGAATTTGCGTGTCAGTTGCAGGTCCCTCATGGTTCCCCATAGCTTGCTCTGCACACTTTCCTGATGTATCCTGATATCGAGAACTGAATCGTGGACAGTTGTTTGATTAGTAGACAGTTATTTGGAAGTGGCGGAGATGTGGTTGATGAGAATACCCTAAACAGATAAAACGAGTAATGAAGATGACTTGAAAAAAACTCACTCATGAAGACAACTTATTGCCCACATCAGAAAGAGACAGTCTACATTCTTTGGTCATATCATGAGATGGAGAAAACTGGAGTACATTTTGACAGTGGGATAGTCGGAGGGGAAGAGAGGCAGAGGGAGACCGAGAGAGAAGATTTGGACAGTTTGACATCATGGCATGGAGGATGGTCTGTATCAGAATTTATTTAAAGTACACGAGACAGAAGTTTTTGTATTGTCATGACTACCGACTGTCTATTCACTATGAGGAAACTTTGCTTTGAATTTATTTATTTATTCATGTACTAAGGTCAGCATTTATTCAAATAAAGTCATGACATCTTCTGGAACATTGTCACAACTCTGCATATTGCGACCTACATTTCTTGTGATTCACTTTCCCGAAGAACCATTGGCCCCAGTCTCTCATTCTAGCTGATAGAAAGCCACCAAAACTGGCACAAGACGATTACCATATTATGGACAGACAAGAGCAAGTGATCAATCTACACCTTAGAACAGGACACAGTCGACTTCACAGCCACATGTACACAAAATTTCAAATCGGCGAATCAGCCATGTGTACATGTGGACTGGCACCTGAGACAACAGATCACGTCCTCCAAGACTGTCCCAAATACAACATATCAAGTCAAAATGTTTTGCCAAGAGAAACAACGGTGCGAGTCAAACTTTACGGGTCGCTGAGGGAATTAAAAAAATCAGCAAAGTTCATACTAGAGACAACACTGCAAATCTAGATTATTTATTTCAAGCGATTGAAGAAGAAGAAGAAACAGAAGAAGAAAAATTCTAGCTGTTGATAATAACTAGGGTGGGCCGCGTTAGCGCAACCCATAGGAGACTCACTTTCAAATCCAGCTGCGACTCGCTTCAGCCCATGGCCTGTGTTCGAAACAGGGCGGTTCCTGGGGTTCACCCAGCCTCTAGGTAATGGGTACCAGGGTTAACACTCTGTGATAAATGAAGGAACGTAGCTGCAGCTATTGAGTTGCATGCGGAAGGCGACACAGGGGGACAGTTTCTTATCAGCTGTCTGTACTGGTGGCAGAGCACTTATGGTTTATAACCGTGTGCAGTGATGCTGGTTGACATCTCCCGACTTTACCTTTAACTTTTTTAAGAACTAGGGTTTACTTTTGAGGTAGGTATTAATTTTGGGGGAAACTCAGTAAAGTTTAGTCTGTACGTATTACTGTTATTTCTGTAACAGATCACAGATAAGTGATTTTGTGTATTTATTACAAGTAACGAAGTCAGGCACACAAACAGAGTGACCTCCTTTCCCATTGATGCCGGCGAAGCCCTGTGTCACAACGAGGCATCAAAAGGAAGGGAAGTCACTCTTTTTGTAGGTCTGACTTTGTTATTTGTCCGTGTATTCTTCTTCGAAATAGTATCATTATCTGTTTGTGTCATATGCTGATGAAGGTTTTCTAGTCGCAGCATTCATTTGTCGTTCAAGATTGTCATAAAGTATATCTAACTAGTTCTACTTCAGGTTTAGATTTCCTTATGTGAGTTTCAAGTCCCCATTGTCTGGGGGGAGGGGGGGGGGGGTGGAGACTAGAGACAAACAACCTCTTCACCTCCCTCCCCCCCCCCCAACAAGGCGACTAATAAGGGCTGTTTCTATAAAAGTCATAGTGCATCTGCCTGAACGGCAAAGAACCAACAGTCTGCATATAAATAAGCCCCAGTGTAGGTTCCACCTCTTCATTGAGGGCGGAAAGGGGGGGGGGGGCAGAAGAGACCCACAGTCACCCCACTGTCATAAGTCAGCTAACTGGTGGTTTCCTTTGAAGTCAGAGTACATCTGCCTGAGCAGCAAGGAACCAACATTCTGCATACATATAAGCCAAATTTGCAGAATGAATGTGCTTACCACACTCAGGTGCTGGGAGAAGACTAAAATACAGAGGTGGTTGAGCAACCAGAACTTTCTGCCAGATGTTTACAGCCAGTGAACACGAAGAAGAAGAAGTTCACATTGAAATCTTCTCATGAATGTGTACCCTTAGTTTCAGGCTAGCCCCAGAACATCCCTACCCAATCCCATTTGATGACTGCCTGAAGGCAACCAGGCATATCTTGCACAACGGCATCAACTACGGCATAGACAGCCACAGGGTGGGCGTGGCAGGTGAGCATATCGATAAGTGCTACTTTTGTCATATCTGATGAATCTTCTTCTTTTTCTGTCTTCTTCTTCGTTCAACAGCTGTGAATTCCATTTGGAGTTTTGGCTCTTACCTGGACCTGAGTTTTGCGTGTACAACCGTTTTACTGGCTTTTGCTGTTTCCTGCCTCTCGGGCAGATGTACTCCGACTTCGATGGAATCTGTCTTTTTCACATTCATTGGCTATAAACTCTGGTGGAAAGTTCTAGTTGTTTGTCCACCTCTGGACTTTAGTCTTGTTCCAGAAGCTGAGTGTTGCATGCACATCCGTTTGTCAGATCTGACTTAATTGTATGCAGATTGTTGGTTCCTTGTTTCTCAGGCAAATGCACTGTAACTTCAAAGGAACCCACATCGGAATATCTAGTGAATGAATGAATAAATTAATATCTGGCAAATTAATGAATGAATGAATCATGAATTGACATTCCTACACACAGGACATACCCACACGTGCTCTATCTCCTTTCACAATCATCATCATCATAAACCACTTGTGCCGTTAAGCATCGTGGGGATGAATAATTTGCAATCCAGTGCACGCTGGCTGCCACTGGCTATTGTCATGTCGTGAAGGCGTAGAGTGTCTTTCATGTTGTCGAACCACATTTTCCTTGGGCATCCTCTTGCTCCTGTAGCTGATCTTCTGAGATGATTTACATCCCTGAACTCAGACATACTCACAGGTGCTCAGTCTCCTTTCACAGTAACCAACGAGAAGTTGACATGCTTTTAGTACCAGTTGCAGTCTGACTTCTCTTATCATCATCATGTGGCAGGTCTTTTGCAGAAGGTCGCTCTCATCCCGGTCTCTCTGAAAGAAACTTGGTCTCTCGCCAGCTCTCCTGCCTCATGTACTTTCATACTCAAGGAGTAGCTTATATCCTGTGCCCATCTTCGTGTTGGTCGGCCTCTGCCCTCTTTCCTGGTACCATGCCTTCTGGTAATATTTTTTCCAATCCCTCGTGGCGCTTGATCTGACCAAAATATTTCAGCTTCTGAGACGGGATGCTGTTTAGTAGCTAATCTTCCTTGATGTTCAGATTTTTCAAGAAGTCAGTATTTCTCCTCTTCTTTGTCCAAGACATTCTGAGAATCTTTCTATAGCATTTCAGCTCAAAAACCCCTATTCTCTTTCTCAAGGACTGGGAGATAGTCCATTCGACCCTGTTTCCCCCACAGGGTTGTATTTCTACCAGAACCTCTACTGACCCCCTTTGAATAGGTCTTTCAATGTAGGGATTCTCTGTATGTTCTTTTACACTGTCCATTGTCCATTTGATCCTAGAGAGTCTTCACCATGCTCTATCATAAAGTAGCTGACCAATCTATCAGCTTGCTCATTACTCCGCACACCCACATTTCCTGGACAGAAAATCCAAGACATACTCCTTCTCCTTCTTTTTCTTCTTCTTTCGTTCACCTTTAATAAGTTGTCTGTATCAGCAATTTTGTCTTTCAAATAAATTTCACTGTCGTTAGTTCATTCAGTGGTCCATAGAGTTTACGTTCCAATGTTGTTCTTTCTGGCCAAAAGGTTTGTCTTAATGTGTCAAATTCGGTGCAGTCCTGGAGTATATGCATTGCTTTCTGGAGCACTTTTCCACAGGTGCACATGGCTGATACGCCTATCTTGAATTTTGTGTACATGTGGTTACATAATTGGTTGCGCCCTGTTCTGAGGGGGAGGATAATGACTTGTTCTGATCTGTCCATAATAAAATAGTCGTCTTGTGCTGACAATATACTCCTGATTTGAATCTCATCAAGTGATGCAAGCCACTGTACTCTCTTAGGATGCCAGTTTCAGTTTTCTGAAGCATGCTCTGTGAGTCTGTTACGATTACAGCATATTGAACTTTTGCTGCCTGGCCATCGGAAAGCTGCAGTTACTGCAGTATCTGGTTTGTCAATGTAGATGGTAGACCACTTTGCATCTAAACTTAATAATGATCATTTATTGTGAGCAATGATTCGGTGACATATTTTCTTTGCCATGCACCTTCAGATGTCTGCTTGGAATATATTTCAAAAGAAAGGGCTGTCATATTGAATGTTGAATAAGAATCAACATCATAGCACTCGGGACTCCCATAAACGCTCCATCCCTATCTTCAGCAGCAAGCGAAGAGTTCTAATTCTGTTGCACTAGTAACTGTCGGATTTTATATCCGTCTCGCTCTTTCCTTAAGTGTTGAGCGGCGGCCAGATCCCCTGGTAACTCCTCGCAGCGCCATTCTCCTCAGACCATAATGATCTATTTGCGCACTATTCACTCACTCCTAGAGGGCCCTCACAACATCTAGCTTGTCATACATCAGTTCACCACCAAGTGCTCAGTCTTCTGATACAGCAGCCACCCCAAGGTACTTCTACTAATTGTTCCCATGAGAAGCTGGTTATATTGTCTCCTATCTCAGCCTCGTAGGAGGCATAGACGTGCTTCACCATGCTTTACTGCCATGTCACACAATCGTGTTAGTGTCAGAGATTCGTCATTATCCACTACTAGCCCAGTCCATACAGCATTAACTCTTTGAGTCCCAAGAAACACATCATACGTTCATAGATTAAAACCTAGAGGCCCAATGAACGCATGATGCGCCGATTTTACGCCTCTGTTGACTACCCCTTGGGCCTGTGATGCTAAACCCCCTGGGATTCAAAGAGTTAAGGAGAGGGTGGAGCTGATATGGGCTTGTCCTAAATGCTGTGATGTCAGATCGGTGACCAGATGAACCTAGATGATTCCATAGCTGGCTCTGGTGTTAACTCTTTGAGTCCCAAGGAACACATCGTAGGTTCACAGGTTACTGCCTAGAAGCCCAGTAAACGCATGATGCACCGACTGTGCGTCTCTCTTGACTACCTCTTGGGCCTGTGATGCTAAACCCTCTAGAACTGAAAGAGTTAATCAATTTGACAGTGCCGGCTTTTTGTGTTTGTCTTCAGGTGACGGTTCTGGAGCCAATTTGGCAGCTGCTGTAGCTCTGCGTCTGTCAGAGGAAGATCCCGAGTACACACCAGCTCTCAAGTTGCAGGTTTGTGAGGTTAAAGATGTACTGTATTTCACCCTGTTGAGCTAGTGTGGTCACAAGTTTATGACTGAGGTTCACCCCGGACATTGAGGCAGCTCTCAATGGGGTGGCAGCATTTCAAGGATCACCATGCCTTTCTGCACATATGAAGCTCCAAGTCCCAGTCTTCCACTGACCAGCTGGTTTTTGTGCAGGGAGAGGAGAAGGTGGGCTCTGCAGCACAGTTTCTGTCCAAATGGTACTTTAACATAGAGTTGGGAGGAAGGTCAAGTATAGTGGTTCCCAAACCCCACCCCTCTCTCTCTCTCTCTCTCGCTCTATGTGTGTGAGAGAGAGAGAGAGACTTGCAGAGCCCTTGTTAGAATTAGCATCAGATGGCAGAGCTCCTTAGACCTTCTGTACTTCATATCCTACAGGTTAATAGTGTTAAGAAATGTAATAGTAAGGAAATATAAAGTAAGGAGATACCTATTTCTAATTTTATTGTGATTCTACTTTCTGTTTCTTACTCTGTAATTTCATTCAGGTTTCAAGTGCTGATGAAGCCCTTGCTGCAGAGCACATGTGTAGCCTTAGATTCTTCTTCCTGTTACTTGTGGGGGGAGGAGGGGGATAATAGACCTCCACCCGACAAACATATCGTGAAAGTTGACTAATCAGAGTATTCCTTCACGCCCAGAGTGAGAAACCAACAACACGTAACATAACCCTTGACCCATTAGGGTTGTGCGGGTGTATTAATGAAAGCACTAGCACAGTGATTCCCAGACTGTGAGCTGCGGCGCCCCGGGAAGCTTCGACCTCTTTACAGGGATGCTGTGAAATATTCGAAGATACACGAGTTTTATTGGGTTTTTTAATCTCTTTTATATGAATAGTCATACTTTTACTTAGGTTAGGGGGCCGTGGAATAATTTTAATTGAAAAAAAAAAAAAAAAGTACGGCGACTAAGAAAAGTTTAGAAAACACTGCACTAGCACATAAAACCCGCCATTTTTCTATGTCTTTCGCTTTAGGAATAAGTGTAAAATAACAGTCCTGTTCATTTATTGATGATGTCATTCCAGGATCTTCTTTGCCTTCCTCTTCTTCGACTACCCCCCAATGTTCCTTGAAGTACAGTCTTTGCAATCGAATCATGTCTCACCATGTGCCCAAACCATGCTAGTTTGCGACGTTTCACCACTGCCAAGAAAGGCTCCTGAGAAACTAAGTTTGCATAAAAATAAGCCAAACTTTAAAATTTAATGTGCTTGAAAAACTCAAAATTCTGGAACAAGACCAGAGTTTAGAACAGCCAGAACTTTCTGCTGGAGTTTACAGCTATATATGCCAAGAAGATGGGAGTTTCACGGTCTCTAGGGATGGCATTTGCCTCGAGTGCAGGAGGTCCTGGGTTCAAGCCCTGGTGAAGGTTGGGATTTTTGTATGTGTTCCAGTTTCCTCTGGTTTCTGCGTAGTAAGATCGGACGCCCGTGTGTATTGTTGCACACATTTTTAAAAATCCCTTGGCAGTTAGAAATTGAAAAGAGTAGCCTAACAGCGCTGCCCGGGCAAAATTTGGAGTTAAAAATCTACCCAAAAAGTATTTCAGGATCCTCACAGTTGCAACCTAGTTCGTGCACTCTGCTGAGATTCTTCTGACTCAGGCTTGAGTTAGAAGTAGAACGGAGCATTTATGGGTTACCACCCGTGTGCCATGATGTTGATCCGTCGACTGAACATAAACTATAGGCCATTAGAACGAGAGGAAAGCAAACTAAAGAACATACATTGGTCTTGCTATTGGCAGGACACAGATGTGAATCATGGGTTATTTCACAGCCGATACAAGGAAACAGAGGGAATGTGAACTTAACTCTTGCAGAAAAATTCTTAAAGTTTCAGAAAAAAAGGCGGAAGGAAAAAAACATTTAATGACATTCTGCATGCTTTGAAGATATTGATATTTATTGTATACATATTTTTATGTGAACCTAATGTGCTTTGTTGATAAAATACAACTGCTGTGTGAAAGGTGGGTGTTTGGAAGGGCCAAATGTAAGACGGGCCTGCGTGCCCAAATTGTAACCCTTTGAAAATAAAGTTTGTTTGTTCGTCCGTTCAGCTACGGGGCCGTGTTAGCGCAGTCGATAGGAGACTCGCTTTCAAATCCAGCGGCGACTCACTGCAGCCCACGGCTGGGGTTTAAAACTGGACGGTTCCCAGGGTTCACCTAGCCTCTAGGAAATGGGTACCAGACCAGAGTTAACACTCTGGGGTAAATGGTTTAACGTCGCTGTAGCTACGGATCTTCATGCCGTTGGCGACACGCACGGACAGTTTCTTATCTGCTGTCCGTACTGATGGCAGAGCACTTATGGTTTATAACCATGTGCAATGACACTGGTTCACATCTCCCGACTTTACCATGTACCTTCGCTTTTATAGAAAAATCTGGGTCATAACAGAATAATTAGATGCTAAAGTAGTTCATCACATAACTAGTTTAATCTTTCCCGCATATCTCTTTGTATGTTTATATGGCACAGAAGTATGTGTGTATGTATATAATATTATTGATGTGTTCTCGTCACCAGGTGTTAATACAGCCAGCTCTACAAGCCTTCACCTTTGACACACCCTCGTTTCGACAGAATGCCGATTACACTCTTGGGACTAGGTGAGTGAGCTTCTGCTTCTAAGATATACCACTTTTCCCTTGTAATTCTTCTTCAATCTCCTGCTTCTTCCCCTCTTGCTCCTTCACTTTCTTTTTCTTCTTCTCCTGCTGTTGCGATATACCAGCTTTTCTATTGTTTGTAATTTCTTTTTTGTCCTCCTCCTTCTTTTTCTCTTACTCCTTCTCTTTCTTCTTCTTCGTCTTCTCCTGTTTTTACGATATACCAGCTTTTATCTTGTTTGTAATTTCCCTTTGTCCTCCTCCTTCTTCTTCTCTTACTCCTTTTCTTTCTTCTTCTTCTTCGTCTTCTCCTGTTTTTACGATATACCAGCTTTTATCTTGTTTGTAATTTCTCTTTGTCCTCCTCATTCTTCTCCTCTTGCTCCTTCTCTTTTTTTTTCTTCTTCTTCTTCTTCTTCTTCTTCTTCTTCGTCTTCTGCTGCTTCTTCGTCTTCTTCCCGTGAACCAGCTGTAAATTCAGGTGGAAAGTCCTGGTTGTTTATCCACTTCTGAACTTAGGGTTTGTTCCAGGACTTGCATGCCCATCTGTTTTACAGACCAGACTTATTTGTATGCACTAATATCTAACGAGCTTGTCAAAAACGGCGACTAATTAGGGACTAATTGAATGGGACTTGTCTGAAGCAAGTTAAAGAATTTCAATATCTAGGAAGTATATTCTTGGAGGATGGGAGAATAGTTTGGGAAGTAGATGCAAGATGCTAAAGAGCCAATGCACTTACATACCAACTGACACTGTTATTAAGACATTCAAACATAAGTATGAGCGCCAAGAAACAGACTATAAACAAAGTATTCATACCAGCACTGTGCTACCAGTGCCAGACTTGGACAAATTGAAGGCTAACTTACGTAAAATTAACACCTGTGAAATTAGATGCCTGAGAAAAGCCGCCAACTTAACCATCCGAGACAAAAAGTTAGAAATGATATTATGCAGTAAATTCATTGAGAAACAGAAGATCAAATGGTTCAGTCATCTAGTAAGAATGCAGCCAGAGCAACTACCAATGCAGATGCTACACATGAAAAGATCTGAAGCGAAACAAGAGGACGCAGTAGGAGAATGTGGATTGATGACATTAAAGAGCTGCTACATCAACACCAAAAAACACTAACGATTCCTGTCCATCAAGCAGTGGGTCGCAAACTGTTCCTTCCTACAAAACTTAACTGCAGAAGTGTCAATTGATGATGATAATGAGTTAGGGGTTTTCTGAAATCAGATATTTTGGGCTGAAAGGTGCAGATATCACAGCTAAGCTGTAAACCACCACACAGTGTGCCAACCACTGTTTTAAGAAGAAGCTGTGAGTGTTTGAAAGAGCCTGATGTAAGACCTGTACCCAGTTTGTAATCCTTTAAAAGTAAAGTTCATTTGTTTATTCATGTCAGAAGACGATATCAGCTTTTTGTATTCTTTTTGCAGGTCACAGATGATTGAGTTTTGGTGTTATTACTTGGCAGTTGAACCCAGCCCAGCTGTGTTGCTGTCCTTCGAGACAAACAAACATATCTCAGCCAGTCTGAGGAGATCCATATATTCTGTATATTTTCAGGAATATAAACTGCCAGGGTACATCAAACAGAACTATGTAGAGAGCTCCCTAGGTGAGTACAGCCTTGATTATGACAAAGATGTTTCACAGTCTGTGGAAGCTAAAGTTATAGACCCATTTGTTTCGCCACTGCTAGCGGAAGATGTTTCCCGACTGCCGCAGACCTATATTTTGGTTGCCGAGTATGATGTTTTACGAGACGATGGCTTATTTTATGCCTCTAGACTGTCCAACGGAAACGTCAGTGTTCGAGTGGATTATATTCATGACCAAACGCAGGGATTTCTTGCACCTGGGGCAGATGTTTGGTTCTTGAAGTCAGAAAAATCCTCCGAGGTGTGGAATATAATCTATCTGTATCTAAAACAAACATTGTGAGTCGATGAAACCTGTTTTGTTCATTTATTTTATATATATATATATGCATACATCTAGTCCGTCCTATTTGTGCAAAAAATTTTTTTTTCCCCCAATTTATTTCACACTCATGACTGTTTATATTAATGCATACTGTTTATATTAATGAAGGCTGTTTATATTACCACAGACTGTTTATATTACTGCAGACTGTTTATAATAATGCAGGCTGTTTATATTATTGCAGGCTGTTTATATTATTGCAGGCTGTTTATATTAATGCAGTCTGTTTATTTTAATGCAGGCTGTTTTTATTAGTACAGGATGTTTATATTTATGCAGGCTGTTTATATTAATGCAAGCTGTTTACATTAATGCAGGCTGTTTACATTAACACATGCTGCTTATATTAACACATGCTGTTTATATTAATGTAAACTGTTTATATTAATGTAATCTGTTTATAATAATGCAGACTGTTCATTTTAATGTAATCTGTTTATATTAATGTAGACTGTTTATATTAATGCCACCTGTTTATATTAATGCCCACTGTTTTTGTAATCGTCTGAGTTATCTGAGAGAAATCCCTGTAAGCTCCAGGGCCCCACTGTCAGGAGGAAACTGAAGAGACCTGCTGCTCCTGAGCAAGCATGTCCTGAAAGGCAACTAATTAAGGTTTTTGCTTAAATTGGATGTGATGGCCTGAAAGAGGGTAGATATCACAGCCTAGCTATACCACACAACATATCAGCTTCCCTTCTACTAGTAAAAGAAGAATAATTCTAGAGAAACAAAGTCATTATAATTGTCTTCATTTTCCTTTTCTACCGTTTATACCTCACATAAGGCTTGCAGTCAGCTGTTCCATTCTAGGTTTTGCTGATGCAAATTCTCCATATCTGGACTGGAAGACCAAAGGTTCCATTACCCAGCTACTGAGTTGTGTACTTTGCGTAACACTATGAGCTCAATAGACTGGGCTGTAATAACTTAGTTTCTAGTTTGCACTTGTTCTCATATTCTCATTCCTGGAAGGGCTGACCCCTGGCAACGAATGCCTACACAAGTCAGATGGTTGGTTGAAAGGCGCGAATATGGCAGCCATGTTGCCCACAGGGACATCACATTTACATCTTCAGATGAGTGCAGAAGACGAAGAAGATATTCTCATTCAGTCGTTGTCGCGTGCGAATGTGCACCAGAACGCACCAGTACGGAGTGAGCAAATAAGACGTCAAAACAATACGTAACGTTGTGAGGGGATTGTTGTCAAAGGCAGTTGATGTTTATAGTCCGAAGGAGACGGACGTGTGGATCCTTGAGGACGTTTTACCCCGGGATCCCACGGAAGCAAACGTTATATGAAGTTGGATCCTTGAGGACGTTTTACCCCGGGATTCCAAGATAGACCTCAGCAGGAAGCTGGTGAACACTACATTCTCGGCAGTAAGCCGGTATACTTTCATTGCTTAATTCGGACTCGTCCGAGGACGAAGATAATCGTCTGGATCTCAAGGTCGGACTGCGACCTATCGTGAGGACATATCAATACATGGATGTACGAGCGAGCTTTGGTTGAGCGAGTGTGAGTTGTTGCTTACATATTTTCTCATTGTGTCGATTATCGATATTGTCAATACACAAATGGAACTTTTAAAGAGAGTTCTCGTTCTGCTACGTTGGAAGCTTCAGCATTCATCATGTTGTGTTACTCTTGGCCAGTAGCATGTTAAGTGTTGATGCCATTTGTTACATTGCGACACCCCCTAGTCACTTTTACACTCGTCACAATCAATGAAGCTCCGCACGTCGCAGTCGCTAATGTAAAACAGTGTTCTTCCACACTGACCGGGATATTAAGATAATTAAATGTTTGTTTCACGACCAGCTGACAACTAAGGCAGAATAAAAAACAGTTGTATATACCAATTATAAAATGTTGTACCATCTCCAGAAAGGAGGTTATTTGCCATCTTCAACTGACAGTGTCAGAACATGATGTTGGCAGCTGTCTGTTCCTGTAGCAGTTGTGTCTAGTCATAGTGCAGTTACATTTTTCTTCTTCCTATTTGATCATCACTCTGTTACTGGGTTGTAGCCCAGTATCATGCAGAGTTTCTCATATTGTTTTCCTGTGTTCTGTGTCGGCACCTCTTGCTGCAGCAACTAATGGCACCTCACTTGTGTAGATAATATTTGTTTCTTTGTTGTCGTTGATGTTTCTACATGAGAAGCAGCTGGTCAAATGGTGCTAGTGCTAGCACTGTGGGAGAACAAAATAGTAAAAAGCTGACCAGCAAAACTGCTAGCAGCATTTGGTTAAATTTGTGGTCTGGTTTATTTGTACCAATTGTACTGGCTGAGATTGGAGTATTTGTGCCAGGTGACCCATGTGTGGTGTAAAAGTGGGGTGGGGGATGTGGAGTGGTTGGGGGTGTGCTGGTATGTGCCAGTAACAGATCTCCCGTGCTGTTGAACCCTAGTGCTTGAGGAAGATTGTGGACATGTTGGAGGCACTCATGTGCATCAGTATAAGAATTCCCATGCCAATGGACTCTAGTGCTCAGGAAAGTTTGTTGAGATGTTGGAGGCACTCATGTGCACCAGTATAAGAATTCCCATGCCAATGTACTCTAGTGCTCAGGAAAGTTTGTGGAGATGTTGGAGGCACTCATGTGCACCAGTATAAGAATTCCCATGCCAATGTACTCTAGTGCTCAGGAAAGTTTGTGGAGATGTTGGGGGCACTCATGTGCATCAGTATAAGAATTCCCATGCCAAAGTACTCTAGTGCTCAGGAAAGTTTGTTGAGATGTTGGGGGCACTCATATGCACCAGTATAAGAATTCCCATGCCAAAGTACTCTAGTGCTCGGGGAAGATTGTTAGAGATAGGAGGGGCAGTGGTGAAAAACACTCCACTTATATTCTGAAGACCTCCGTTCAAATCCCCAGTAAGATGGGGGATGTTTTTCTGCCAGAGAAAAAAAAAAAAAGCTACTGACCTCCACAGTGCGAGATGACAGTACTGACTGACTGACTTTCTACCCCACCAGGACATCACACAAGCGATAAACACCCGATGACACAAAGTGCCACCATGCGGATGAGGATCGCCGTTGAGAGGTCCCAGAAACCGCGATCATACAATTGACCATTTTTATGGCCTGCCTATATTGCGGCCCCTGGCAAAAGCCAGAGTGGGGCTTCAATTAACAAAAAATTAAGTCCCATGAAGGACGTATGGAAATGGATGATTATGACAGCACTAGCCATCTGGCCTTAAACCCACGGGCTCAAGATTCCGCCAACCCCACCCCGGACCTTCACCACCCTAAAAGTGATAGATGCAGACAGCAGGAACAGTTGTTGACCTGTTTTTTTTTTTTAAACAAGATTTATCTGATTTCATTCCTGTGTGGGTTCCGGGGCCCTGTTATAGGGAAAACAGGAATAGACCCACTGCCTAACCAAAAACATGTCGTAAGAGTTGACTAATTGGGAGCTTCCTTCAAAGTCGGAGTGCATCTGCCTGAGAGGATAGGAACCAGCAGTTAGAATACAAATGAGTGAGATCTGTTAAACAGATGCGCACACAACACTCAGGTTCTGGAACAGGACTGCAGTCCAGAAGTAGATGAACAAACAGAACTTTCTGCCATGGTTTACAGCCGGTAAACGCAAAGAAGAAGAAGAAGCTATGGTTTCATATTATGTATGCACACATATTTGCACATGCAATAACTCTGTTGCAGTGGAGTACTGACAGGTGGGGCTCCATGGCTTGAAGCAGCGGTTCTCAACCTGTGGGTTGCGACCTTTTTTTGGGGGGGGGGGGGGGTCAAACAACCCTTTCCCATGGGGAAACACATATTCACTGAAGTTATGAGGTAGCAACGAAAGAAATTTTATCGTTTGGGGTCCCCACAACGTCTAAAGGTAAAGGACCCTTTTCCAAGCCTTTCAGGCGTATTGGGCATAGAGGGCTAGATTTATATTTTATAGACCAACAGCACAAGATGGGTTATGTGGTCAGCATCACACCGGCCGCCTTTACTTCCCATGACTGTACCTGGTACCCACTCAAGGCTAGATCTACCTGGGAGCCAAGGTCGTTTTTGAAAAAAAGTCTGACTCTGCCAGGGAGTAAACCCACAACCTTCCGATCCGCAGGCAAGTGTCTAGCTACTCCGCCACGGTGACTCCCACCTCAACATGAACTGTATTAAAGTGTGGCGTCATTAGGAAGGTTAAGAACCACTGGCTTAAAAGTTAGTGATTGTAGTTAACAGTTCCATGATCCTAGAGTGCTAGAGCTGCTTCCCCGCGATAGACGGATACAAGAAATTGTTCTCCTGGTTTTCGGGCAGTTGTGTGAGAGTAACACTGTAGAAGAGATTGGGGCCTCACACGTAATATCCCTCAAAGACAGCTGTGGTACACATAACCTTCATTGTGGGAACAGCACCGGACATTTACTTTTTTGCTGACAGGTGCACTCATATTTCTGATATTTGTTTTATGTCTTGTAATGTATATTTTCTCTCAGGTTTTGTTTCATGCTTTCTTTCTTCCTTCCTTCCTACATTTCTTATTTTCTTTCTTTCTTTTTTTCTGTCTGCCTTTTTGTCTTTTTTCTTTCTTTCCTGTTCTTTGAGTCTTTTTCTTTCTTTCTTCCTTTCTTAATTTTTTTTTTTTTTGTAAAAGGGGGGGTGGGGGGGGGGGGGGGGGGGGGGGTGGATAATTGTTGTTTTAAATTTATAGATTTTATGTTGCTATTCCATTTTGACATGCTTCAAATTAAAAGCTGCCTCACACAAATGAATTAATGTTGTTCAAAGGGAACTTTATACCGTGCATTCAAACAAACAACCGCGGCAGATAGATAGGAATACACAGAAAGCTACAACTGGGGACATTATGGAGATGTTGGAAACTCACTTTGTTTATCCATACCAACGCTATGCTATCAAAGTCAAACATGGACGCTGTCTTCAGAAAGGAAAATAGTCATGACAG